AGTGTGGCTCTTCACATTTCCACCATTCCCTGATATTGACACCCATTCAGAAATTGAGGAAATGATACTGCAGTGCAATGAAGGCTCAGCTACCATGTTCTATTGTGTTCTGGGCTACTTGGGCTTTCTGGCAGTTTGCAGTTTTTCTGTAGCATTTTTCTCCAGGAAGCTCCCCAGCAGTTTCAACGAAGCCAAATGTCTCACTTTCAGCATGCTGATCTTCTGCAGTGTGTGGCTTTCCTTTGTTCCATCCTACCTGAGCACCAAAGGGAAATACATGGTGGCTGTGGAGGTTTTCTCCATTTTGGCCTCTAGTGCTGGGTTGCTAGGCTGCATATATTTCCCCAAATGTTACATAATCATTTTTAGGCCTGAGTTGAACAACAGGGAACAACTAATAAAGAAAAAGAATTAATAATGCATGCACAAAACTATTTCAACTATTTCTCTTCTTTTAAATCTCTAGAAAGTTAAGCACTAGAATAGAAGAATTTCTGCTCTTTTTACTTGGAATGTGTAGGCATTAAATAGAATGGAATTAGCAACATATCTCTGTCTTACACACAGGTAGGTAGATTATAAAGCAATTTGTAGAATGGTCTTTTCACATGTTATGATTATATTTGAATAAATGCCACTAATATTTCTTGAAATCAGCAAAAGATTAAAAAAATGTGGAACAGATCAATATTTCAATTCTATTTGAATCCACTCTTTTCCAGTTATTGTGACATCAAACCTTTCCCAATAATCCTCTTCTGTATACGACTATGTTGTGCTGTGTGAGTTTCTGTGTGTATTTGAATCAGTGTATGCAGTGTGTTTGTGTGTTTCCATGACATTTATAAAAAATTAAGTGGGGGTCAGTGTTATGGTGTGTCTAGTACTGGAACTTAGGTACATGTGTATACAAGAACCAAGGTTCAGCTGAACTAGAATGAATTCATCTTTGGACCGAAGGCAATTTTTTGTTTTCTTTTGAAGATTACCTCTCCCCCTCCCCCCAAGTTACAGTTTTACTGCAGTACAAAATGTAAATAATATTTATAGAATACAGATAATAACAGTCCAGTGGTATTTATACAATGGAAACTAGAAATAGTTAACACTGTGTAATTTAGAAAAATTAAGCCTTTTAAGATGAGAAAAAGGTTTGTATCAATGTTAAATATGATTTCTAAAATGTAATGAATGTAAAGTTGCTTAAATTGTACAATTAATGTTAAGAATGACATTGATAAAGAAAACAAAATGCATTGAATTATGTTACAATATGGAAAAGGTTTTGATCTTTGATCTTAATGCTTAATAATAAAATCTCCATGGTATTGTTATGTATAAGTGTTAGAAGAGAATGAGAGAGAGAGAGAGAGAGAGAGAGAGAGAGAGAGAATTTCCATTTTTGGAAATTCTAGCTGACACTCAGTATCTAATGTGTTTGCTAATATCATAAGATTTCTTAGCTGTCCTTTTCCTTTAGAAGGTGTTCTTCTTTTACTAATGAATCAACTTCTCTGTTGTAGGGTCATTTGAAGGTGACATTTAGTAGTCCTACTGGAAAGAGGAGTACTTACATATGAAAAAAAAAATCCTAGAATGTCACAAAGAAATCAAAATGTAATGATTGCAATTTTTTCTGCATATAATCAGCAAAAATACTTGTGTGAATTCCAGTTGCCCTTAAAGCCCTAACATCAGATTCTTGGCTATAAAAAATCTTGGCTGCTACCCTGCAACACTGAAAACTTTGCAACAACAATTGAGCAGAATTCAGA